TCGTATGGATGGGGATTGGCCGGGACGTAGATCGCCGAACGGAAAATGTGTGACAGGATGGATACCACCGCGGGGCTGTGGTGCGAGCATCAGCACGGTCACACAGACTTGGCCGAGTCGGGATGATTCGAGGGTCAAGGGGGAGGGAAGGAGTTGTACGTGGGGACGGAGCTGTACGTAGGGAAGGAGCTGTGCATGACCACACTGTCTGTCCGAGGCTCCGGACGGGATGTTGGGAAGGGTAAGGTATCAGGGTTGATCAGCTGGCTGGAAGGGGTTTGGGGCGAGGCAAGGGCCGCGCGCGGTGTGTGAGGAGTTTCAGATTGCAGCATGTGAATGAAGGTGAAGCAAGTCGACCTCCCGCGCGGACTCACCTCGCTGCAGCCGAACCAGTGAGGATGATCCGACGAGCATGTATGTCGAGCTCCCGAAGGAGAGCTCGCCAGTACATGAACTGGGACTCGAACGCGCATCTAAGTACAGGAGCTTAAGCGAGGGAGCGAGGGACCCGCAACGAAACTGTGCGTCTAGGGGGGAGGGTATCGTAGTAATGTGGATCGCTGGCTGATCTGGGCTCTTCCGGGGCAGAACCCGGGTCAGAAGGAGAGTTAGGAGGTACAAGGAAGTGGTTGTGGTTGTGGTGGACCGACTGCACTGGAGCGAGGAGAGGCACGCGGGCGGAAGCGGAGGCAGTGATGAGACAGACGAGACGAGACGAGACGGCGATGACGCATAACGAGGCGAGGCACGAGCACGTACCGAGCGTTTGCTCGCAGTTCGCGGAATTCGGCGACGGGCAGGCCAGATTCGAAACGTACAGGCGGGCCTGACGGTCTATGGGTTCTCAGCAAAGACTCGAGTTACGCACGGGTGGCGGGGGGGGCTATGCGGCGAGGGTGTGGTGGGAACTTGAGAAGCTAGGCTGGAGCGGCTGGGGAGAAAGGTGAGGTCAGGTCAGGATGGACGAAGGGGTTGGAGGAGGCTGAGGAGGGGAGGTGACGGGATATAGCGATTTCGAATAGTGGATGGCGGCACCGGAGGGAGGAGACGAGAGTGCGGAGGCGAGAAAGAGGAGACGGGAGAGTGGAGACGGGAGCGAGGATGTGGAGACTCGGCCCAGAAAGGGAGACGAGAGCAAAGCAATGAGCCAAAGGCGACTTCAGGAAAACAACACATCCTGCGATGCTTGCTTTCCGGCCACGCACCGGGGCCAGGTCACCCCACGCCACCTCACAGTCCGGAGTCCGTAGCGCTTGCCACTCACCTCGGAAACAGGAACAGCTTGTCATCCAGACCCATGCTCCCTCCTGCGGGGATGATATTCGCGAGGAGGCCGAACTGGCTCCATCTGATGTACCGGTTAGCGGAGGACAATGTTAAGGATTCTTTGGCAGTGCCACACAGATGTTTGACGTGCTGGTGGAGGGGGAGCAGGAGCGATGGTGGACCGGTGGAACGGTGGGACGGTTCGGTGCGGTTGTGGGACGCAGCATTGTGCGGGTCGCAGAGCACCGCAATCGAGCGCGAGCACGAGCCCAAGGGTAGGATCGGATTGAGAGATGGCGAGGGACTGGACATGGTACATTCGCGACTCACTTGCCGTTCCCGTATTTGTCCCTCACCTCCCGCCGGAAAGCGGGCGACACGGTATCCACCCAGACTGCACAAACCCCGCCTTCGCACCCTGCCTCCTCTTCCCCGTGTCCCTGCTTCAGGCGCGTAAGACTGTCACCTTGCTGTTGCGCAGGATCCCGACTCGACGCCTCTTCGTCTGAAATCGAGGGCAGAGGAAAGTGTACCCCGTTTCGCTGGAAGGGGAGAACCACCCCTCCGAGGCGCGCGATGGTTTCGAGAAGCGCAGCGGTGGGAGCAGGGAAGCGGAGGACGAACGTGTCGGTGCGGCCGAGATGGATGTGGATGTCGTCCGGTGCCGAGGTCGGGAGGAGCAGGGCGGTTGGGATGGCTGCGACGGGAACGCGGTCAGTGGTGTGTTCTGAGTGGCTGAGAGCTCCTACTGCGTTCGATATCGCCGGGTTGGACACAAGATGAGATCCGAGAATCCGAGATCGGTGCGGTGAGGCCTTGGGATGACACATCATACCGAATGTGTTCGGATTGGACAAACCAAAGTGACCAAGCAGTCAGTATGGGACGGACCGACACGGTGAGAAGTACAGCAAGAAGATAACCATCTACTGATCGGAGTCGCGCCACACGGACTGCACACCGCACTCACGACTCGCAACACCCGCTCCGCGGAGGCCCCACTTGGCCCACCACAATCCGACAGTCTCCTTCGTCTCTACCCCGTATTCCGCTGCGGAAAGTTGAGTCGCCGGGAGAGCATTGCTTGTGGAGTGCAGAGATCCGACCACACCCCCTCCGCGGGTCAACAGGGTGTAAAGTAGCCACCGGAGTGTGACCTTCCTGTCCTCTAGGTCTTCTGGGGCCTGATATTCCGGCGACTGTCCAGTGTTGTCCCACTTGTCAAGCGGCGATGGGACCGAGGGACGATCAGGCGCGACGGAGGTCCCGTAACCTGAATCCTGGTCGCTGGGATCGGTGCGCTCGCTGTGCTGGTGGGCGGATCTGCGGGCTTTGGAGGGTCGGCTGATCCGGGGTGGCGTGGCAGTAAGCCCTCCCGACGTGGCGGAGCGAAGCACGTCGCTGAGCCGATCCCCGCTTTGCAGACTCTCCAGGCGGTCGAGGAAATCGTGCAGGACGGACACGAACGGTTCATTGGCAGTCTCCGGAGAGCGGAGAGAGTCGGGTGGGCAGGGGAGCGTGTCTTCTTGGAGGCGGCCTTCGATCGAAGATCCAGGAGTGGCGGGCTGTGCGGCGGTATGCGACGAGGTGTCATGTGGAGAAGAATGGTTGGCGGGCGAAAGAGTGTGGACATGGGACGTGACGAGCTTGATGGTGGACAGGTCGTATTCCGCCAGGACAGGCAGGAGGGAATCTAACGATATATCAGTATCAGTATCAGTATCAGTTGCACTCCGCGTTCCGCGGCTGTGGGTCACTCACCGAAAGCGCCCAGCACGGTGTGGAGGGAGAGTGTGGCGCCACTCTCAGTATGGGTCTGACACTGTCAGCGCCAACTCGGGAGTGCACCGAGGAGGGAGAATTAGATTGGCCTGCTTCACACCGACTCCCGCCTCTCACGGATAGCGCGAGGCCACCAGCCCCGAGAGAGCCCGGATAGGGCACAAGACCTGACGACAGGCAGACTGATGGACTGACTCTGACAACACCCACACCTACAGGATCCGCGGTATCATCTCCCTCCTGCTCCGGCTTCACCGCGTGCTCCACCTCGTGTTCGGACCACGCCACGGAATGTCCCCCGACGACGTGCAGATCGGTCGTGAGCAGATTTGCGCGGAGCGCATGGCGGGCGGTGGAGAGTACGAGGACATGCGGTGTCTCGGTGTGAGGGGACATGGTGGCGGGAGCAGGGGCCAGAACGGGCGATGGTACAGTACGAGTATTGTATAGGAGCGAGAATGGGAGGTGAGTGCGGAGCCCGAGCCCGAGCCCGGGAGCGTCGGTTTGTGGTTGTCGTTGGTCGCGACGGGGACGCGGAAGCCTACGTCCGTGGCTCCCCCGGTTCGGCGTTGATCGTGACCTGGTCGTGGTGTCGACCTTGTCGTCCTCGACGTCGTCCCGACCTTGATCTGAGCCTATGGAGGTCAGTGTTGTGGTCGATGTCCGCCTCCCAATTTCAAGATACTGCGTTCGCGTCCATTCAGCATCCTCCCATCATCTTCCCAATCCTCAATTCCAGCAGAACTCACCGGCGAAACTTGCTCTGATTCCCCTCGGCGGGTTGGTAAGGCCGGTACGGTATCCAGGCCTATGAGTCCGGATACGAGAAGGTGGATGGGTAAGGTGCAGTATCACTGGCAAGGAATGGGTCGAGTGTCGTTGTAGTCCAGACAAGTCAGAAATAACCAGGGCGTGGGCGGGCAGACAAGCTCGGGCGGTGTCGGGTGGTGTCGGGTAGGATATGGTGTGGACATCCGTCGTGTCGAACAATCTAATGAAATATCAGGATGTGGTGTGCGGGTTTCATTAATCAGCGGGTTGGTTTGCATTGTTTCATCGCCATCAGATGATCCCATCACAGCTCGGCACAGCACAGACATCACACAGCCACGCCGCGCCACGCCGCGCCGCGCCGCCCCCCTCGCCGCGCCACATCCGTGCGCCCCGCCCTTTGGCTGATTGATTGATCGGCTGATTACACAGTTGATTGATTGATACTAATGTCTGAAACCCACGAACCCTCTCTCCTCACGCCGGCGGTCGTTTCAGGGCAATGATCGGCGGCTTTGTTCGCTACCGAGGAAGGGGCTTTCAGACTCCACCAATCCCACGCCCTCCTCACGTTGCCAGGCAACAAGGCTATCAAGCTTCCCCTTGCAAGAGAACCGTTGGGGTGTAATTGATCATTTCCATACATATCGTGAGCATATGGGTACTAGCAGGCATGGGCATAGAGAGCACCGGGGGCATATGGGGTTCAGTAGGTACTGTAACGCCTCGGCTCGACTTTCCACAGACAGCGTAGAGAACCGGAATGAAACAGATTGAAACGGAAGAAGCACACCCGCCACACTGCCCTGCAGTATGTCGATCAGGGAAGTCCAGGGCTCGGGTGAGACTCTGAGAGTGACGGTGGGTTGGTTGGGCGCATTGGTGATCCGTACCAAATTCTACAGGCCCGCGGGACCGCCGATCCGCCGAATCCCAAGCGACAGATGGCAGGTCGAACGGAACACATGACTCTGCGGCCTCTCGTCTGTCGTTCAAACGGAGGAAGACAGAGGCTCGACTCGTCAGGTGTAGTTGTCGTCGGTAGAGTCGAAGCAAGGGGGTTTGGTGTGGACAGAACCCCGGGCCAAAGGGAAATGTTGATATCGACAGGGCCAAGATTGTTCGACAGGCACATATTTTCTCTGCACAGTTGACAGCGCTTGAGCGCTCCGAGTTCGAGTTCACACGTCTCTGCGAGGGGGCATCAGCACCGCCAACGACTCGAGCTCATCGAATTTCCAGTGACATTGTAAGATCACTCACCACGGGCCAGGATCGCCCAATCTCGCACTTCTCCGTTTCCCTTCCCTGCCGACCGCCGCTCCACCCTGCGCCGCACTCCCATTATCGCCCATTCGTCCCCCACTTTGACCCTGCGCTTGCGCTTGTCCCTGAGCCGCTTGCGCCTGCGCCGCTTGACTCTGCGCGAACCTCGCGCCAACCACCGTATGATCCTTGATGAACCCGACCATCTGCTGGAATTTTGCCTTCTCCACGGCCAGCTCCTTTTCGAGGAATGCGATCCGGGAATCGCGCTCGGCGATGGTCTGCGTGAGGGTCTCGAGTTCTTCCTTCCTTCGAGCGCGGTGCTTTTGGGCGGATCTGCGGTTGATCGATCGGCGGTCTGGGATCATCAGCACGGAGACTGCCCCGAGTGCAGGAACTGAAGGTGGAAGTGGACCAGCCTACTCACGCTCAAGCCGATCGAATCGCTTCTTGTCATCGTCCCCACCACCGCCGCCACTGCCAACACCTCTGATCGGACCGAGTCTTCCCCCTTGCCCTGTCCCTAGCCCTTGCGCCTGCCCTTGCCCTTGGCCATTGACACCCGCGTGTCCCAGCCCAATGACCGCCGGACTGACCCCGTCCACTTGCCTCCTCACAGCCTCGTACGCCGCCCACTGCATCGTCGCGCCCTCGCCGAGCTCCATGCCCGCGAGGTTCAGCTCGGTGAGCGCGTCGCCTTGCCCCAGACCCGTCCCCGTCACCGACGTCATGGGCACGTCCTGGTCCTCTGAAACATCCGTGGCGGAGCACGAGTACTCGCTGCCCGAGATGCTGTCGCGGTGGGTCCCGCCTCGGGAATGGTACGAGTGCGACTGCGAATGGACCGAGTGGACCGAGAGGGCCGAGTGGTTGGAGTGAAACGAATGTGCCGAGGCCGGGCGGAAGTCGGGGACGAGAGACGGGGATGGGGCAAAAGGCGAGGCGGAGGTCTCCAGTTTGAGGTTCTGGAAGTTGGTGGGAGAGGTCGTGGGTTGTGGGTATGCGAGGTCGTCGGTGATGGAGTGCGCGGCTGGATCCGCGGAGAGCATGGTCGGGTCAAAGTGAAATGAGCCGTCGGCTGGGAGGTCGAGGTGGGGGGAATCGTCGGGGAGGTTGAGCTCGCGCAGCTATGTCTACTCAGCTGCCGTCCACCACTTGCTTGTGGGCTTCTCAAGGTGACAATGAGAAGAGTGGGATAATACCCTCCCAACGTGCCCTCCCAGCCCACCCAACCCTCCCAACCATGACGACCTTCACCTTCTACCAGACACGCTCGCCCATCATTCCTCCTCCACTATGGACCCGCTGCTCACCTACCACTCGCACCCTCCTCCCACTTGCCTCCTGATACTACCACCCGTCTCATGCCTTATCCTCCACCACTTGTCCTCATCCAACCCCCTTTTGACGCAACCCCCGACACCCTGGTCACTCACAAAGTCAGACTTGAAGTCCCATTGGCCCGAGTTGCTCTGTCCCTGAAGCAGCCTGATCATCCCATCATCTCCCGCACCAAGAGCCGCGTCGAACTCCCGCGACACCGAGTCCTGGGAAGACAGCATCCGGATACTGTTCCCGCCGAACCCAGACCCGGAGCCGGATCCGGATCTTGATCCGTGGGTGCGCGAGTCGGTGCGGGAGACGACTTCGGGCATGATGGTCGCCCCGGACGAGTTGAAGCTGGAACGAGAGTCAGTCGAGGCACTCATACAGAAGAAGCGAGGGGGGCATGTGGGTGTGCGAGTGCGTGGGTGTGAGCGTGGGTGAGAGCGTGGGTGAGAGTGTGGGAGGGACGCACGAGTCGGTCTGCTTGAGTGATCTTGTGCCGGGCATGACGGGCGGACGGATTCGCAGTTACTCGGCTGATGTAGGGTTGTCGGCGGATGATGAGTGACTTCACCCAGCAAGAGCTGTAGAGATATCGTCGAGTAACGCAGCGGGAACGAGGTGACTCCCGTCTGGGCATAACGATGCATGATGTGGCTGACGTAAGTGACTCACCGGTTGACTGGACTGGCGCTACCTCGTCCCTGGAGCCAAACAAACGGGGCCCTGAGTGACGTGTGTTTAAGCGTGAATAGGATTTGAGCGAGTCGGATAAGGGGGCCAGGCAGAGCATTAGAAATGAAATGATTAGAGATGGTTGATAACTCATTAGCAATAAATAGAAATGACTCGCGTCGCGGGATAAAAGCGAGAAAGTAAGTATTCCATTCCCGTGCCCGTTTTCGTCCCTGGCACCTGATTGATGCGCCCCCCTCTGCACCTGGCCCACCCACCCACCCACTTGTTGTCGTTCCTACTCATTACTCTTCACCTCTTCCCTTCCTCGCGTCTCTTTGTCCACGCCCCTTCTCCTCATTGTCCTTCTCATCGTCACGACTAACGCGTCACGCCTATACGTCCACGCCCGATATCCCATCCCATCCCATCCCGACCCATCCAATTCCATCGTCAGCATCAATCGGATCATCCGTCACGTCACGTCAGCGAAACGAACGACTTTTGCTCCACCCCACGGCCACGACGACGACGACCCGCCTCCCCGGTGTATCACGCATATCCATCCATCTCAACAGTTGACATCGATCCCATACCGAGACATCTCGCGTTTGATTGATCACGGCGACGACGACGACGCGCGCATACAAATTGCATTCCTCCATTTCATTCCGGTCCCTCGGCATTCCGTCCGACTGAAACAACAACAAACTTACGACGACGACGTCTTGCCCCCCTTCTCTCGAGCTTACGCGAACGCGCGACGACGAGGTATCGGTCTCGGTATCGGTATCGACGTGGACGTCTACTCTGATCGACTCATCAGCGTCCCAAGCCTCGTTATCCATCTCTTGACGCCGCGTCGAGACTGGCCGACTTCTTGACGTCAACTCGATTTCCGATTCGGAATAGGACTGGGCGGTCATCACTTGCTCCTGATCCTCCTCTCGCTCGACCTCCCATCGCTTTAACATCGCTTTATCTTCCTTTCTTGCGCCTAGCCCCGAGCCGCCAAGCCGCAGCAGGATGAACCAGCCACACTCCCCACCTCTTCCAAACCTCCACGCGCTGTCGATCTCCCCGTATCCGGCCCAGAACCAGGACTACGCGCACCGATACAACGGCGTATTTGGTCCTCCTGTCCACGCGGCGCCGAGCCAGGGTTGGGGCAGCCCAAAGCGAGGCTCGCGAGTTGGTCTCCCTCACGTGAGTGTGCCGCGCCGATCCCGTCGTGATGTGGAGTTCCAAATCGCCGAGATACATGTACTGATGTTTTCGTCAGAATTGGTTTGACCCCCCCTCGCGCGACTCGCCTGTACCCCAATTCGATCCTTATCGGCGGGATGCCTCCTCACCCGCGCTTTCCCCTCCCACATCGACTTCCTCTGGGCCGACCACGGCGTCGTCGAACCCTTACCCTTCGTTCCACCCGGCTCCGTATATGGACGCGTCGTACATGGGCGTCCCCGTGCCGATCGGAGTAACGCCATCCCCTCCTCCCCAGCTGCCTTACGGGATGAACGCCGCGCGATCCCCTCCCAACCTCGCGGCATTCAATGTCAACGGCGGCGGTCTGCCGGTGTACGGCTCGCAGTCGCTTGCCGCGTTGCAGCCCAACAACGGGATGTGGCGAAACGGATACGCCCCGCCAATGATCCCCGCGGCGGACGAGGATGTCATTCCAACAGCGATAGTGATCAAGAACATCCCCTTTGCCGTCTCTCGCGAGACCCTTTTGGGGGTCATCGAGTCGCTCGGCGCGCCGCTACCCTACGCGTTCAACTATCACCACGACAACGGGATCTTCCGAGGACTGGCGTTCGCCAACTTCCGAGCGCCGGACGAGGCGGCGAGCGTCGTCGCGGCGTTGAACGGGTATGATGTGCAGGGTCGCAAGCTCCGGGTGGAGTATAAAAAGGTGTTGCAGCCTGGAGAGAAGGACAAGATTGAGAGGGAGAAGGCTCTGAAGCGTATGCGGAGTATCCAATTCGACCAGAAAGACCCGGCGGCGGCTCCTCCGGCGTCTACCACAGGTCCGATCCCTCCGCCATTAACACTCCGACCACCGAACGGTAATGGTAACAGCAATGGGAATGGTCGCTCGGAATACGGAGAGTATTCCCCGCCTCATTCTGCTTCTTCAGCCACGTCCGAGAACCTCCCGGTCACGCTCGACCTGAACGACCCTACTGCGCTGGACATCTACTCGCGCGTCCTCGTCTTCAAGGAGGACCGGATGCGTGACGAGCTGGCCTTCAGCCGGAACCTCACCCCGACGGAACGGCGGATTGTGCATCTCGTAGCGCAGAAGCTAGGCCTCACGAGTATCACCAAGCTCGATGGTGAGATCAAGTATGTGGTCGTCACTCGGGAAGCACCGGCCCGACCGACTCTGACCACCTCCAACTCTGCCACTGTCCCCATGTCGTCGACCTACCTCTCTCCTTATGGAACAGCTTCGGCCGAGCTCTCCCCCTCGTTGCGGATCAAAAAGTCGATGCCGGACCTGCGGGGGTTCAACGGTCCGGTCGTCGCCAGGGACCCGACTCGGTCACTCACTCCGCAGAGGTCTTCGGGCAACCTCCGCGAGGGGCGGGAATACGTCTCGATGGGCGCGGCGCAGGGTCGACGGGCGAACGGCGGATTCGGTTCGGGAAACTTCAATAGTTTCTTTGGTGGAGCGATCGGTGGATCACCCGATATCCCTCCTGTCCCACCTCTCCCGTCTGGGTTGGGTCTCCACGCCAGAGGGAACTCTGTGAACATCACCAGCTCCACCGCCACCGCTTCTTCGGCGCTATCAAATGGAAGTGGAAACGGGAACGGGAACGGCTCGCCGGAGGGTTCTGAATCTGCGCAGATCAACGGCGCCGGCACCGGGCCGCTGAGGAATCCGAGGGGTCCGGCGGGCGAGTCGAGGGGTTTCGGAGGAACGCTGCGACCCAGCGCGAGCGCCGTGTTGAGAGGCAGTGCGCCCATGGCCGGCGCGCTCGGCCGGAGGGTCAGCGAGGAGGACGAGGACGCGGCGGTCGAAGCGGCTTTCGAGGCGGAGGGGATGCGGACGAGGGAGAGCTTGGATCTGTAGATGGCAATGGCGAGGGTGTGGGGAGTGTCGCGGCAAATCGCCGGATCAACTTGGCACCGCTCGATCCTTCATCGAACCGCTGGGGTCACAACACACGGGCGCTGTTGAAGGGCATACACGTACCGTTCTGCCCTTCTTGCAGCCATCCGATTATCGCCGCCAACGTCCTCCGACACTCGTGCCTCACCTGCCCCAAGATCCCGGATCCTTGCAACCCTGTCCAGCTTCATGTCTCAAGTCGCCATCGCCATTCTGTCGACCGAACCAAACCTGATCAAACCAAAACCAGCTGACCGACCAAACAAACACGTACCGCACCGACCGCAAACGAGATTGGCTCTCCAACCAATCATCATCATCGTTATCGTGACTCACATTCCATGTCAAGTCCCACCCAAGCTATCTCACCTACCCAACCAAACTACCCATCCACACCACCAGCTTTGCGGTACCGCACCCACCCACCCGACCCGACCCGACCCGACCCGACCCGATCCGACTCAGACCTACGATATATCACGCCGCTACGCCGGGTTTTCATGTCATTTGCCGTTACCGTATACGCTCGCCATGCGACGGAAGCACAGAGAAAGACAAGTTGAGAGAGATCGAGAGAATGAGAGATGTAGAATGTATCTTGTGCTGGAAACGAGTTGTTCAGGGCGGCAGTGCTATGGCAGTGAGAGTATGATTCCACGAGAAAGATACGAGATCGAGGGTGGCGGTCTCGCGTCGTGCAGTGCGAACGGGTTAGATCCGCGGGGAATGCTCGTATTGGGACAGAGTGGTTGGCGAAGGACAGATTCCCCGGCTCAACTACGCGCTGTCAAAGTAGTGCTGCAACACGAAAGCGTCGACTGTGATGAGTGTGTAGCTACTGTGAAACCTGGTCCTGGTCCTGGTCTGACGCCGGGCGATGGCGGCGAATTCCGACGATGTCGAAAGTTTCAGCGCACCTCGGTGTTGTTCGACACTGCCTACGACTAGACTGTCCCTCGATACCCATCCTCCACACTTTGATCTGACCAAAGCGCGTCTGTCGTGACACTTGCCTCGCCGTCGTATCGACCCGTCACCATGCCCAAGCTCAAGGCCGCGCTGCTGAACCAGCAGCACGCCGCGTCGCAGCTCGCGGCGCGGAAGAAGGCGGCAGAGAGGGAGAAGGCGCGGCAGGGGGATATACGCGCGAAGGCCGCGGGGGTGGGCAAGGGGAGGAAGAAGGCGAAGAGGGCGGAGAGGCGGGCGGACAGGGCGGAGAGGGAGGGCGAGGGTATGGACGGCGATGACATCGAAAAGAGCGGGATCCAGCAGGGTGGAGCTGGGGCGGGCCCGTCGGTTCCGTTCGCGCCGCCCGCGGGGCTGGGAGCAGTCGGGTCTAATTCCGGACTATCGAAGGTGGCCGACATCGACGGTATCGCCGACGGTATCGCCATTTCGGGTGCCGGCGCCGGGGCTGCTTCTACAAGTACTCGCGAGAACAACGACCGGGGCACTGCAGGCAGCAAGGGCAAAGCCAAAGCCAAAGCCAACGGCGGAGCCATCGCCCATCCCTCGGGACCCGGTCGTATCATCCCCTTCGACCCCATCGACACCCTCCTCCTCCTGGGCGAAGCCAACTTCTCCTTCTCCCTCTCGGTCGTGACGGCGCACAGATTCCCCCCGTCCCGGATGTTATCTACGAGCTACGACCCCGAAGCCATCTGTTATCGCAAGTACCCCGATGGGGCGGGCAATGTCGCCGAGCTCC